GGTAGAGAATGTTTTCTTTGTAAAATTTTAATTAGCATTATTTATTATATATAATATTGAATAAAATAAGAGTATTTAATAATGTTCAATATAAATATTTTATATTTAATATGAAAAACATAAATATAAATCATATTACTTTTTTAAAGTTCTTAGATATTAGAATACTTTACGTGATATAAAAGAATTGTCATGAAGTAAAATCTACTCATATTGGTATATTTATTTGATCAACTAACTCAATAAATAGTGAGCATTATATATAAATACATGAATAATTTCAAATATTAGAAATTAAAGATACGATCAGATCGTATTGTTTTTTTAATCGAGTCAAGTTGATCTTTTTCTTTTTTGTAAAAATTTCACAACGATGTCGATGTCATTTCTGCTAGAAATATTTTGTTTTTTTATTTCCACAATTTGCTAAGAAAATAAATTCTTACCATTACTATCGTCCCTACCTGCCAGCAAAAGTAGTGAAGAAGCACATAAAAACAATAACATCTTTGAATATTTTGCATAAAGATCAATGACATATTTCATCAAATATTTACCTATATTGTATATTTGTTCGTGCTAATTCAGCTATACTGTAATAAAATGGAGATCAAAAGATAGTCGACCATTTAAATTTTAAACTAACACCGACTGATCATTGATGTGTCAATGGTCCGGTTTGAATCACACGAACACATTTTGAAGCTATCTATATTTACTCTTCTGTTCTAAATATAAAATAGTCATAACTCGACTAGTTATGTCTTTAAAGAGACATAGTATTTTAAACACCTAGTCTGATCAAGATTTTAATTTTCAAGAAAAATATGAGTTTTAAAAGTTTTTAATCAATTGAGAAGATTCTTTGCACAATTGTAAAATGAAATCGAATACGAATTCATTAATTAATAATTATCATTTGTATATAATTGTATTTTAATTTAGTTTCTTATTGCATATGTGGCTACTACAGAAGCACCATTAGAACATAAACTTCGATATGCATTCAATGTTTATGATTTAGATCATAATTCAATGATTGATAGAGCTGAAGTTTTATTTATTCTACGTGCTATGTATCAATTATTAGGAATGAATGATGATCGATCACATAAATATTCATATGAACAATGTGCTGATACAATAATGAAAACTCTTGATATTAATGAAGATCAACGTATATCAAAAGAAGAATTTATTCAAGGTCTATTAAAAGATCCTTTTTTACAAAGTCTTATGAATCCTTTTCAAAATACTTAATTATATATATATATGTTTTCCTTACATTATTATCGTGTCGTCTTGTCTTGTATAATTATGTGATTGAATGCTTATAGAACAAATTGAAATAATACTAATTATTGAAATTGTATATTTCCTACGATTATAAATAATAGTTCTTAGTACAATCCTTGCAGGATTAAAATATGAAATACAATGTAGCCAATTTCACTAATTATAAGAGAATTATATTTAATATTCTTTTAAAAATGCAATAAAGAAATAGTTCATATATTATAATGAGACATTATCTATATACGATCTATGAGGAAAATAAATTTTTATTTATTTCAAACCAAGAAAAATACTTTTAATAACTTGAGATTTTTTTTATTCAGAAAGTAAAAGTTTGAGTCATAATGCTCTTATATGTCTGATTGTCTTTCGTAAAAATACTTACCGTCAGCAAAAAAAAAAAACATACTTTTGATTTTAAATACAAACAAAAAAGAAAATGAATTAGTTCAATTTATATCTTTATCATAATATGTTTGATCTTCAAAAGAACTTTTAAAATTTTCATTTAAAGAATAAATATCAATGCATTTTTTTGCTCATGCATAAGAAGACAATATGTGCAATCAGAAACAAAAAGAAAAACGTGCAGTGAAAACAAAAGAAAAACACTCCAATATGCATAGTTTGTCATATAAATTAAAATGTTCGTTAAAATATTAAAGATAAGATTGTTCAAGATTAAAATTATAATTATAACACTGTTCAATTTCATAAGATGAAAGAATATGAAATGAATCTAAGTCTGATGAATTATTAGCACCATTACGATTTCCAATTAAATATTTCGGATTAATTGAAAATGGAATACCTTCAAGTATATCTTTTTCATCACTTTTTTTCGGAATTGCATTTCCATATAAACTTTCTTGTGTATTATAATGTTGTTGAGATCCATAATATGATTGATCATTCATTGGATTTGGATAAAGATTTGATGGTACTTGTGATGATGGTACGGGTAGTGGTGCTCGAAAAGATGGAACAGTACCTTCTTTAACACACATTTGTAAACCATTGATATCACCAATTAATGTATAAGATTGTGGTGGTCGTTTTGACCGATAGAGAAATATAATATCACATATACATTTCATACCTGCTTGTCGTTCAACTAGTTTAACACATATTGTTCGTTTATTTGTACCTTTAGCTTTTGTATCTATTGTTTCTACTAATCCATAATAACTCTGTGGAGGAGAATCACGTTCATTAATAAGTTTAATATCTTCCAAAGCAAATGTTTTATTACCAGCTAATGGAAATATACGTGTAATACAAACAAAACGATCTTTACGTTCAAGCAATGAATCAGTCATTAGATCAGCATCACGTGATGGATCATCAAAAACTAGAAAATAAAATAAAAAAATATATGATTTTGATTAAAATTTGAGAATATAAAGGTGAAAAATTTTCTATTCGAATTTTATGAAATACATTTAATCTCGAACAAACATGCATTACAAAAATATTATTTTAATATGTTCAACTAGAAATATATTCGATATCAAAATTAGTTGTAGGTTTCAATTTTCTTAAGTCAATACAAAAGAAAATTTGCTGCTCTGCATATCTAAATTTATAATATCTAATTTTTATTATTTATTAAATATTAGTTAATAAATCAAAAATTTTATCTCATATTCGAGAATATTAGAAAAGAATCTATGATTTCTAAATGAGAAAATATCTTATATAAATAATTAAAGTTCATGGCCAACTAACAAAGAGTTTTATCTTGAATTTTTGTCTAAAAATAAATTTTAATAATTATTAGATAATTCTGAATATTCCCATGAAAACGAACATAACTTTCTCAAGATATTCAATCATCATAGAAGGACATACCAATTGAATCTACCTAGAAATTGAATACCTTGAATAAGATACGTTTGTTTTTTTTTCAAGATTATTTCTAATGACTATTAAAACCACTTACAAAGAAAATTTTTTAGTTAAAACTTTTCGTTTTTTGTAATGTCTGATTCTCAGTATTAAATGAATCATAACGAAAGTTGACATTTTAGGTACTTAAATCATTGAATTGAACTATCTTTTTGTTTACCTTTTCGAATACATTGATAACCAGTTGGTACATTATTAGGTTTTGAAACAAGACAAATTCCAGTTATAGGTAAATTAGTATCATTCATTGATGCTGACATATTATCGTCACTATTCACAGTATCACTAGAAGTTTGTTGTTGCTGTGGTTGAGAAAAAAGTGTAGTAGGTAAAGAAAATATAAAATTTGATATCGCTGCCAGCGTGATAATTTCTACGGGTAATTTAAGGATATTTTTATTGACTTGGATGAATAATCAGTTATTTCTTTTGAATAAGAATGACTCATCGGAATTATTTTTATTGGTTAAAAAAATCATTCAATCAAATAAAAAGAAATTTTATGAATATTACAAAAAAAAAAATAGAATTTTTATTAAAAAATTCCAACATTTTTTAGAATTCTTTATTTACACAGTTGATAATTAATTATATTCATACATTATAATTTTTTTTTTGTAGGAATTATATACAATAAACAAATATTAAAACGTAAAAATCTTTGTGTTTTTGATTCTATATGATGATATCATAAACAATTATTGATAGGTGTATATCATTAAGTAAAAAATATTTATTTAAATGCATAAATAAATTTTATGGATATAGATGGACTATTATAGCAAGTTATAGAGTAATTTGCCGTTTATAGTAACACTCTGACCCTGAATGCTGTGCGAAGGGCATTTTACTTCTGTATGAAAATATAACTACATTGTAGATAAAACTAAGTTAGATTTTATATGTATATTCTATAGAATCTTAAATAGACAATGATTATCAGTTTAAGTGAATTTGATTTTTTTTGACTATTAGTATTGAAGAGCACTATCTAATTACAACAACAACAACAAAAAAAGACTATAAAACTTCCTTTCTTTTATCAAATATTTATCTTTTAGTGATAGGATAAACCTTGATAGTAGTACTATGTAATATACCCATGGGTTTTCCTTTGTAACTGAAGTTTTTGTAAGATTTTCGAAGTTTTGTAGATTTATTCAGTAGAAATGCTTTTTGATACGATTGACACAATTAAATTGTAGTTGATATGTAAATAATTAGTAACATTTCGAATGTTTTAATGAGGTTAACATGAGTTTTTTTTTTTCCTAATACTTTTTCGATGTTTAGCGAAAATTTTCACTATGATCTTATTAAATCATATAGAATAAATATAGTTTAATATCATCTGAGAATCTTGCCTTTCTTTTTGTTGATTGCTTTATTTGCTGAGTATAAAGCACATATCTTTTTGTTTTATTTTATTTTTTTTTTCTTAATAAAAAGTTATCGTTTAAAATGGCAGACAACGACGACCAGAGTAGAAGAGCCCAGTCATTCATCTTTCTTTTTTTCTTCCTTTTTTCTCCGTCCAAACATATATCGTTTAGGAAGAAGAAAAGCAGCATTCTACCAGTTAGTCCACGTTTTTCTATGAGAACACATAGAAAGCGAGAGCAAAGAAAATAGTATGGCTCGTTGTGCACACACGTTTCATTACAGAATATACAAGTGAAAGGCAATAATTGCACATTTTCTGTTTATTTTCATGCATATGCTGTATACTTTTTCTCTATGCAATATCCACACATATATTTATTGATTAGACATTTTTTCTTTAGTAGATTTTTCTTATGTCTAATCAACAAAATGACAATGTCCAATTGAACGATGATGTTCAAGGGACACAACAACCACCAAAACAACGTTCGAAAAATTATTATCGAAAGCGACCTGGTTCGAAATTTTTGTTCTTGTTATTTTTTAATTATGTCTTTTTAAAATTATTTTATTTTTAAATATCATAGGTAGTGAACGACAAAATCAAGATTTAGGAGAAGATGAAAATCGTCCTTCAAATGATGATGATACCCAACGATCGAATAATTCTGAGGACAATGATGATCATGTGAATAATACACGAGGTATTTTTACATGAGTTTATTAAAAATAACTATTCCATTTATTATTTAACAGGTCGTGGTGGTCGACGAGGAGGTTTTCGACGTTTTCGTGGTAAGACTTTTTTTTTTTTATCTTAGTCTGAGTGATTGAGGCTTTAAAATGAAATTTCTAAGATTTAATGTGCCTTGTTTCTAGGTCGAGGACGTTTTGCGCGTAGTCTACCTTACTATGGTGATTTTCGTCGAATTTATTCGCCTTATACAAATTATATGAATGGACGTGGAGGTAAGAATAATTTTACAGACAAAAAAACTTCATGTTTTTATTTCTTTTTTTTTTTAACAAGGAGTTTTTGTCCCTGTCGATGAATTTTATGGTCCCTCATATTATGGTGGTGGCGATCCATCAGAACAAGAAGGTATTGTTGATTATCCAATACGTGGTAATCGAGGTTTTCGTGGTGGTCGAGGACGTGGTAGACGAAGAGGTCAAATAACAAAGAATGAAAAGTTTGTTGTTAAAATAAAGTTTTTCTTTTCATTTAAAAAAATAATCTTTTATTTCTAGTACTGATAATAATAATACTAATAACAATACTGATCAACAACAAGGAGAAGATACAAATGTAACTAAACGTCGTAATTCAAGACGTCGTCAACATAAACAACAACAACAAAATAATGAAAATGGCACAGGCACAGAACAACAAACTGATGGGTAAGAAACATAATTCATTATGAGTTTTTCTTATTATCTCTTTTTTTTAAATATTTAGTGTCGTAACTGATGATCAACATCAAGATGAAAATAATCAAGGTGCAGCACGTCAACCACAAAAGAAATCTAATCGACAGTAAAGATTTTTGTTTTGTTATAATTATTATTATTCTTTCATTTACAAGACGACGTCGTCGTAATACCAATGCAAGTCAAAATGAGGCTGAAACAGATGAACGTACAAAATCTGCACAGCCAAAAAAACCTAAAGATGATGAAACAATAGTGAAAAATGTTCTGCGTTTTATGGTTAATAAAGTTGTTCGTCGTTTAGCACCAAGATATCGACGACGAAGTCGTGCAAATACAAAAGAAGCAACCGATAATAATAATACTAATAATAATACTAATGTTGAAAAACCGCAAACAAATAATGCTCAACGTGGTCGACGTCGTCGTCAAAGACCAGGAAATGGTTATTTCATGGAACAAGGTAAGATAAAAATTTAATCAAATATCAAAGATTTTTTTCTTTTTGTATGTTTAGGTTATTATGATCCATATGGTATGACACCGTATTATTATGGAATGTATTATGGATATACTGAACAAGAATATGCTGGTCGTGGTAAGTTTAGTTTTTCAAACTTTTTACGAAAAAAAAAAAAAATTGTTTTTTTTTTAAACAGGTCGCGGTCGTGGTAGACGTGGTCGTGGTCGTTTTCGACAACGCAGAGGAGCTAATAAAGAGAATCAACCTCAAAATAACAGTGAACAAGGCAAAACTGAAGGTAAAATTTAATAATAATTTGTTTTTTTGTTATTTTTATTTTTTGAATAGAATTAAATCCAACTGATGATAATTCTCAAAGTAAAACAACAACCATAAGTGAAGTAGTCAATCAATCTTCAAACAATGCTGATTCAAATCAATGATAAACAAGTTTTATTTTCATTCTCCATCTTGCCAATCTTACATTCATTCATGCCGATGTGATTTTTTAACTTGTTGCTGTGTCACTTCTTTTTTTTTTGTATATGCTCATTACCTTTTTTTTTCCTTTCCTTTTCTTTTTTTTGTTTTACATCATATGAGGGAAACACTACGCTCTTTTTAAGTCACAGCAAAAATTTTTTTTCTTGTTTGATTTAAAATATAAAAAAAACACATAACTAATTTTTTCTTTTGTGAATCTTGCATTCAAAGTTCGAATTTTATGATGCGATGATCTTGAAAATTGAAACTCAGGAAATATTCGTTTAAACTTAAGATGAAATTGATACAGATGTTTTTTTTCTCTAGTCTTGTCGAGAACGATCAGTTTGTTTTCAAATAGTGGCCAAAAAGAGAAACATTTTTTGTTTTTCAAGTTTCGAGATAATTAAAACAATGACAGTAACAAAAGTTAACTGCCATTTCTCCTTGCTTATAGTTAAGACAGATGTGTGAATATAGCTGATGATAGATAAATACATAAGAAATCAAGTTTTCATCACAGTTTAATGTGATGACGGTTCATATACTGGTTATTATTCTTGAGAAATATACATAGTACCCAGAGATATTGTCATTCTTAAGATGCTCTAAAATTACTTTGTGCATCTTTTGTTTTTAAACTTAATTTGATTGAGTTATAGGTGCTTTCTTCAGAGTTATAAATAGTTATGTGATATTAGCCTCAGCTATTTGTTGACCCTATGGCGTTCTTCTGTGCTCAGTCCTATGTTCCAAAACAAGTGAATTACTAAAGTGAAATGTTCTCATAAAATTTCACACTATTGAGATCTATATGTTTCAAATAGTTTATTTTCCTTTATATTGGTTCTTTTTAAAATTTTTATTTTAAGCATCCAGCAATAATCTCGAGAAAAATCTATAAATATCTTAAGTTCATTTCAAAAATAAAATTTTCCTCATCTCCATAGGTCCCTCCAGGAGTTCAGGAGAAAGAAAACCTTTTTCTGTTCATTAAGAAGGTATTTATATTCATGCATTAGGGATACTGTGATGATTACTGGTATATAAAAGTTTTTAATAGGATCATTGGGTATTGTTAAAATATCGTTAATATATCGACTCCTTCATACAGATAAATACGCTATTTGAAACAGAGAGCTCGATAGTTTGAAATTTTCTGAGAAACTTTCACGCTACTATTCACTTGTTCTGTAACATAAAAAATTGCAGAGCATCTATCACTGTATCGAACTAAGTTTAAAAACTAAACGTACATAAATTTATCTAATAACATTTTAGGGACCATAATGTCTATCATACTATATATATATTCTGCAAGGATTATAATTAGCAGGGTTGCCAGATCAAAATCTTAGAAATCGAAATTTTTTTGCTTGAATTCGGAAAAATATCTGGCTAATTCAGAAAAAAATTCGGAAAGTCATTTTTAAGCGTTCACTGCCTGTAACCAAGATGAAAATTCTTTATCTAAAGTTCAATCCTTTTTTAAAAACACCTTTCTTTTCTCTTTTTTTGGAATTTGAAATTGTTGTTGGTTGAATAGATTCTTGTTCTTCTACACTCACGGTCATACTAATAGACGAATCATCTGATTTATCATCCATA